ATTATTATAATTAGTTCTAGTCTAATTCCTAGACTATAACTAGAATACGCCGATCGCCAATGAATTTAGTTAAGAGATATGGGAATAAGAGCTTCTTATATTTCTTACGGTCGCGCGTCTTCCCTTTCGGCTGATCGAGTATCCTAAGTTTCATCGCTTAATCTAGATAGCCCAATCTACACCGAGGGTCCCGGATATCCCTTCAGCAAAGACTATACGACGCCGGCTACAATCCTCCGTACAATAATAACAGGAAAGAATTCTAAGAATGCTCCTAGAAGATACAAAAATATTAATTGCTCTTGATTGCTGGACCTCGCCTTTTACACAGGTATTTATGGCTATAACTGGCTATTTTATCGATAAGGACTGGCAATACCGTGAGGTTCTTCTCGGCTTTGAACCCCTTTACGGATCACACTCTGGTGTGAACCTAAGTTCTGTACTCCTCGATATACTTTTGCGATATAAGATCGAAGATCGGGTCTTCGCAATCACGACTAACAATGCATTAAATAACTAGACATTGGTTGATACACTATAATAAGCAATATTAGAAGACACTACCCTTATTAGGGTCCCTTGTCTTGCCTATGTGATTTAGCTGAGCCTTAATGAGCTTCTTGGGTATATTAAGGCTTGCCCGCTTAATAAATCAACGGAGACACGGTGGACAGAGCAGCGATCCTAGTCAGCGCGTATGAATGTAACTAAGCAAAATATTGCTAATACACTATCGAAGGTATATATTTATACAATCTAGAGTTTTTATATTATACTAACTACGATATCTAGATTCGAAACCTTGCGATCTATGTGAATGTAAGTCCCTAACGACGGGAAACCTTCTACAATCTATAAGGCGAAACAATAAAGCTTATGCCTCTTTAAGACGTTAAGACACGCTGGAATTCTACGTTTCTAATGCTTCGACGTGTAAAACGCTTACGATCGTTTTTCTAGCTATTTTGTGATGAGTATAAGCGGCCTGATATAGTACTCGAGGACGAAGAATGGCGCTAGGTTGACTACCTTCTCTTTATTACCTAGCCCTTCTTTGATTTCATAGTTGAACTTTCAAAAACCCGGGATGCCACTATATATCATGTATTTCTGATTTATAATAAGCTGTTTAAGCACCTAGAGCTATCAATCACCCAGCTTACGCGGAAGAAGACTACCTGGAAGCGATAGATGCTTCAGGCGTTACAAGCTGCGCGAAAGAAGCTTGATGAGTACTACTCTGAGACAGATAACGTACGAGGGCATCTTTATGCAATCACTACAATGCTAGCTCCAGCGAACAAATTCTAGTTCTTCCAAACAGATGATTGGGATGATCGTTGGCGTACGATATACAGAAAGTCTCTTGAAGAGCATTTGGCTGTTTATAAAGAACGTCTTGCCCAGCAACCGACGTCTCCTCTATCTCTTTCGTTAGGGGGAGGAATATCGCGCCTAGACTCGATGGTAAAGCTAAAGCGTCCCCGCTCTGCTATAGCAGGCGATGAGCTTTCGCAATATCTTGATAGTGGTATGTATCCTTAATTACTTTGCTTTATATAATATTAATTATCCTATAAGCTACTATAGATATAGCGCCTTTAGTGTTTTAGAGGGAGAATGCCTATCGTTTCCTAACTCTTGCAGCCCTTGCACGAGATGTGCTTTTAGTCCCTGCGACTGGTGCTGGTGTTGAACGACTTTTTAATACTACCCGAGATATCTGTCACTATCGCCGTGGAAGATTAAGTGTAATAACTATCTAGGAGTTAATGATGTTTCTTTGTACTTTAAAATTCGAGATCGAGGAGGAATAGGTAGTATTCCTATAGGAATTCTTTACTCGCGACGAGATCGAAGCGGCAAAGGAGGAGAAGGAAATCATAACTGATATAGTGAACGTCGATCCGATTAGTGATACTGAGGAAGAGCAAACCTAGGAAGAGGAAGAGGTGCAAGGTAGGGAGGATATATAGGTTATGATCGATTATGATACTGACCCTCCCCTTCCTTCTAATAAAGATAAAAGCACTCAGATACGTGCTTCTGTAAGAGCTCGGAAACGGATCAGATATGACGAGGATCTATACTAGTATTATTAGCGATTAATAGGATAGCGAATTCAATCATTACACTAATTTCTGACCGCGGTCAAAAAGCTAGTACTATAATAAGAGAACCCTATATTTCTGACCGCGGTTAGAAATCAAGTGCCTAAGCCTAAAGCACTTATTTCATATATATCATATCTTCGAAGTCAAATACCCTAAGAAACAGAGAAAACCCGCATAAATTATACACTGATAAGGACCCACCTAGTTTGCATTGTTTGCCAAACCATTGGGGCCCCAAGAACTATTGCGGTTTGGGCCTCGAAAACCAAAAACCGCAATGGTTTCTGAAACTGGCCCCAAAAACCAAACCATTTGCGGTTTGGGGCGGTTTGGTTTTGCGGTTTTGCGGTTTTTGGCGCACTCTACTCACTAGCATCGTTCCCCGATCTCTTAACAGGACTTAGGCTAGTGTAAGACCTAACAGGCAATAGCTCAGTTGCGACAGACCGTTGACGTTGGATACCTAAGGAGTATTAAGGCAAGTATACCCGGAACCCATCCAACCTAACTGTGACCAGTTAGCAGTGCGTAACACGAGGATATAGCCTTCGAAACAAAGCTTAGGTACGTCGATATCTATCGCCACTAGCTAAGATAGGAAGTTAAAGAAGGGAGGATATAGGTGAAATAGGTGCCTATAGTAAGTATAGCAGCCGATAGACTCACGAAATTGCTTACTCGGCAAAAGTATAAAGCCTTTATTTAAATACTTTATATAGTGGATATAGGCCACTTAATAGCATAAAGAAATAGAGATTAGTATACCGAGGTGTGTGGGGTTCTAGCAATCCTATACTAGCATCGCTAAGGGGGTGTGTCGGAGCATATAGACCGGTATACCGGGGATTTAATTAATCCAGGTTGTGCAGTAATTTTGAATTAGTAATCCGTAATCTATATAAATTGCTAGGAAAAGGGATACTGAAATACAGAGATTTTAACACTATTGATTGGACCTATACATTTCAGGATACTAGTGTATTCGATAGATAAGCATGTCTGTGCGCTCACTGAGCGCAGTCTGAGTACTCAGCGAGCAAGACCTGAGTGCTGACTGAGCATACCCTGAGCGCTCACTGAGCAAACCTGAGTGCTCACGAAGCAATCACCCTGTACTGTGAAATACTCAGTGAGCAGGACCCTGAGCGCCCTCATAAAGCGGCGGCACCCCGATCGGGAAATTCGTATCCGCGGCCTAAAATCTGGTACATACAGGTACATATGTAGGTTTTATACGATCATGATGATATGTTCCAATGTTCAACCATATGTAGTCTATATAGGATTTTTAGACGCCCTAGAGCGCCCTCTCGTCGTTTAGCGATGTTATTATTTGTACCTGATGGATCAAAATTCCCTATACGTATTAGGCCTATACGATTGATAGCGTAGAATACATTATTAGATTAGTTTATATAGAAAGAGAAATGAGATGTAAATAGATGTAAAGCCCCTATTCCCCCTATAGTTTTTGTCTATAACTATCTTCATACACTTGACGTCGATACATCAGAAAGCCATGACCTACGGCAAGCAAGACTTCTGGAAAGTGAGAAATATGACTGTTGCCAAGATTCACAAATTGCAGAATCGTTTATATTATCGTTGATAACAGGTTTCCGATCTTTTGATTCAGGTTTTATAGGGGTTGCTTCGACTCAAGTTATCGATAGCAGGGTTGATAACTTGATATTAACAGATATAGATCTCAATAGGACAATCCTAACAATCCGGGCTCGTTGATGATCACTCTGTCCTAATTCACCACACTCTCCCATTTCACCACAATTGCCAATTCACCATTCTGAAAACACAAAATCATATTTGAAGCGTACTTTCAGGTGCTGGCCAGCATTCATCCCCTGTACCGTCTACCAGAAATCGGACACCGATAGAAGCTTGCCGTCTTCCGCATATTTCCCGTAACTCCAACCACTCAAGGCAGCTTTTCCCGAGTCAATGTCGATCATATCCCATTGTAGCGCACTCTGGCTATGTTGTTCGTGCCACTTGATATGTTTGACCGTCAATTTGTTGCTTTGTTGTTTTAGGGCCTCGTGGATAAGTTGAACAAGTGATTCCAGGTCATCAGACACGATGCTAGCCATGTTGGTGTAGATAAAGCCAGGAGCAGTGGCATTTTTCAGGATAGCTAATCGTTTCTCCAAGGGTAGGCCGAGATCCCAGGCCTGGTCCCATTGAGCCCATGTATCCTTTGTTGACGACATATTAAGGGAATGTATAACCGGGGAACACCAGATGAATTGGGTGATAAATTGGGTATTTGACGGGAGTCAGACTCGAAATTGAGAATGCTTTGATGCGAGTGAAATCCAATGATGGTTCGAGTTTAAATTAGGGATTTAGGGAGAATCGAGGGTGATATTTAAGGCGTGGGCATTCAGGCGTCCTGCTCACCGGAGTGGAGGACGAGCTGAACTACGGAGCTGAACTACGAGATGGGTAAATAGTGGCTATGAAAGATGGTATAAAACCTCGAAAGGTGTTTAATACAGAATTGACATAAAAGCAATGTTAGAAAGTAAGGAAACATAAGGTATATTATACTACAGTACAGTTTACGCCAAGAAATACATGTATAGTGGTCAACGCAGATAACCTACTACAAAGCTAACACGAAAAGCCAATAGAAATATTTCGTTCTTTTCTGTGAACACGCCCCGAATCCACCCGCACCAGACCAGTCTAGGCACAATGTAGGAAGCAGGCGAGACAGGGGAAACTACAAGATGGACAGGAGTATATCGACAATGATGAGGGAAGAAAAGATAGGGGAAAAGAGAGGGCATGGCTTGCAAACAATGCGAAGCAGATAATCAGAGAAAAAAGGAGCAGACCAAGAACCGCCTAAATACAATTCGTTCATCGCGGGCCGAGCTTGTCCAGGGCGCGTGCACCCTGTTCCTGCCACTCCTGCTTGCTTACCCACATGTCGTCCTTGTCGGCGATCTGAAGGAAATGGTGTTAGCAAGGGTCGAAATCGAATGGAGAAAAGGGAAACTAACCAAGTTGGCGAGCACGGCACCACCCAGGAACACCATGTGTCTCCGGCGGGGGGATCTTCGATGCGGACCTTGAATTTCTGGAAAGTCATTAGCAAAGTGATATTGATGGTTTTGTTGGGGGTTCTTCGACGTACGTTCAGACGCTCTGGGTCACCGCCCAGTACCCGAGTGAGCCAGAGCTGCTTCAACTCCTTCTCCAGACGAGAGGGCAGACCGGGGTACATGCTGCTACCACCACTGAGCACGATGGCCTTGTATAGACTGGAGCGAACATCGACATCGGCACCCTGGATACAGTTGAAGAGCATTTCAGCCATACCGGGCTGGTCAACATCAACCAAGTGAGGCTGGAACAGACATTCGGGGGCCTCGAAGCGCTCGCTGCCGACACGGATCACACGGCCATCGGGCAGGGTGTACGATTCGACGAGAACGGTGGTATCCTCGGAAAGCTTTTTGTCCAACTCGAGGTCGTAAGAGACGTAAGCGAGCTTCTCCTTGATCTGGCGAACGGTCTCGAAGTCGGCGGTTCGGTTCAGCGCATAGCCGCGGCGCAGGAGGAGGGCAATCAGGTTACGAGTGACGTCGCGACCGGCTACGTCCAGGCGCTTAATGTGGTGGTTGAGTACGGTCGACTCGTACACGGGGATAATGTGTGTCACACCGTCACCGGAATCAACAACCACGCCGCTGCTCAGACCTATAACATGACATCAGTATTGATTCCGAACTCACGCTTTGGTCTTGGGTCACATACCCTGGGCATACAGTGCCAGCACCGCCTGGATCGCCACATAGACACCACCAAACCCGTATCCTTCTAGCATCACCTCGGCCATCTGCTCGCGGTTCTTAAGCGGGTTCATCGGGGGCTCCGTGAGGAGAATCTTGCGATCCGTGGGGTCGATCTTCATCTTCTCGTAAAAGGTGTAGTTCCATAGGTGTTGCATGTCGTCCCATTTCTTGACAATTCCATTCTCCATCTAAAGCAGCATATGTTAGGCATTAGGCATTGACAAGACACTCGCCTGGGTTGCGGAGAGGGCGGGGTAGAACAGGCGAGGACAAGACCCGACATAAACATACAGGATAGCTGATCTGGAGCATTGATCGTGCAGCAGCGGCTTCATCACCACACATGATATCCTTGACGACAATGTCGCCGCCCTGCTCCTCCGTTCGCAAGATGGGCCGCCCCACTATCGAGGGAAACTGGTGCTCTGGGAAGTTCTGGCGAGGGAATATAAATTAGAGAATAGCTTAGAGGATTGTAGTGACAATGCGACATACCTGGGCGGCATAGCCGACCTTGAGGAAACCGGTTCCTCCATCGAGGACTGCGGAGTAGCTTGTTAGCTTGGAGCTGGGACACGGTAGCCTGGGGGGAATTACCAATGGGCATTTCCGCCATCTTGGAGGAATTGGGGATTTGACGGTTGGGAGTAAGGGCACCGTCCGAGGTTGAGATTCTATTTGGAAACTCCCAAGATGAGCGGAACTAGGAGGGTTCAGGGGAGAGCGGAGGTGTTGGGGATGTTTGAAGTCAAGCCCACGACGGACGGAGCATCATAACTTACGTGACCGTACCGTACCTGATATTCACCCCACAACTGTGGGCGAGCCGCAGCCATGACGGTATGTGACCGCATCATCACATTCCTAGACCAGGTAAGCTCAGCGATGATGGATTACTGCGTAAATAAAACATTCGAGCTCCTGAGGAGTAGTAGAATAATGTTGAAATCAATATATGCGCATGTTATAGTATAGCACATGTGGAACGCCTCACATTAAGGGCTATGCACGTGGAATTGGCTACAAGGGCATAAGCATACAATAGGAGTAAAGAGACGAATGATATATCCACAGTATTAAAGTCCAATCGGTGAAGTCTAAATTGAAGACCAAACCCGTTGATATCATTGAAGAGCTTCCTGTCGGCCGATTCCGATATCCTCGGGAAATACGCGCTCCACCATTCCTATCGTCCCTAGACCCATAGAAGGATCGCATTGCCCTGCTCAGGTAGACTTCGCATTGCTGAAACCACTTTGAACCAATCCTTGAACTTGTTGTCTATAACATTGTCGCCCATTTGAATCCGCAACCTAGCGAAACAGCAAGCAAGAATGCCACAAATCGGTTGGGTAAGTAACCCCTAGACCATCTACAGTCGTGAACAAAAGAACCAACAAAGCAAATAGTATGGACTCGGATCCATGGGCCTAGCAATGGCCTCAAACCTGCAGCGCCACCTAGCCACGAAGAAGGCATTGAACCTGATCTACTCGAACCGCACGATGTCGCGCGGATCACCCCTGCAAGCACTGGGAGCAATCCCAGAACCCAATTTCGAGAAGCTAGTGTCTCAATGTGGAATTATTTTCACTATGGTAAGCCAATGCCACTGAGAAAATACATCGCAATGGAGCCCTAAACCTGTTCTAGGTCTCGAATGACTCAGTGCTCCAAAGCCTGCTATCCACTGCCATGGGCTCAAGCCAGTCCCTGAAGGACAAGATCTTTGTCGACTGCTCAACAGTCCACCCCGATACCGTTAGATCGGCTATCTCGCAACTGAAAAGCAAGGATGCATCGTACGTAGCAGCGCCGGTCTTTGGCGGGAACCCAATTGCCGTAGATGGCAAGCTTGTTTTCGCTATTGGTGGGCCGAAGAGTGCGACTGAGGCTGTCAAACCTTTGATCCAGGATGTGATGGGTCGACGTGTGATTGATTGCGGTGAGGATGCTACAAAGTCTTCGCTTCTGAAAATAGCCGGTAACATTGTTACTGTTAATATGATGGAAGCTGTTGGTGAGGCTCAGGTCTTTGCCGAGAAGACCGGACTTGGAACTGGTGCTATGGAGGAGCTCATTGGTGAGGCTTTTGGTCCTGTTGCTGGAGGGTATTCAAAGAGGTATGTGACATTACTGTTTCGGTGTTGGCCTTGTGGCTCTTCATACTTATCTTTGTTTCCAGATTGACTACCGGCGCTTATGCGCCGCCCACAGACTCCCGTCCTGGATTTGGGGTCTCTCTCGCTATTAAGGATGCTAGACATGCTATGTCCATGGCCCAGGAGCAAGGTGTTGAGCTTCCTGGCCTTGCGATCGCTAAGGCTAACATGAAGGCCGCGAGAGAATATGGCGGCGAGTGTCTAGACAGCAGTTCAATGTACGGGACGCTGCGCCAGAAGGCTGGTCTGGAGTTTTGGAATGAGAAGAGCAGGAGAGAGTGAAGTGAAAACCATGTGTCCCATAAGATACAGAGTAATTATTGATATGAAATTTCTGTTTGTTTAAATGTCTAAACCGAAATGATTCCTCTAAATACCATTGAAGGCATTTATATGACCAGCCCTGGAGCTGATCCGTGCCCCTTCTTACAGCATGATTCTGCCTTGCATTGAGACTCAGCCAAGAAAAAAAATGATACGCCGAAAAAAAATTAAACATTCTGCCTTGTTAGAAGCCAGAATTCCCGTTGCGCCAAAATGAGTTGCGGAATTGAAAAATATGAAACAAGATCAACAAGGTGGAGGTAGGACAGTGGTTGTAATGCAGCCCGCTTAAGTGGTTTTGTAGTCTGTCGGTGACTCTACTCCGTATGAGGCGCTGGGCCGTGCTTTCGGCTTGATTCGTGCGGTGTCTGCCAAACTGGGATAAGTCTCTGCAAAGCTGGGCCCCAGAGACCAATTAGACAAATTCCTCATATGCCGTTCAAAGACAGGGTTGATGACCAGCTCGTCCGAGTCTCCTGCCGACAATAAACAGTCCGTAGCCTCGTATGGCCAATTGACGTTGATGTCACGTGTAAATGGCATGGTCCAGTTCTCAAACGGGTAGTTCTGATACTTTGTGATAATCCTGTCACGCATTCCCGGCCAGGGAACATAATCCATCCAAGCAGGGTGTGGATGGAGAATTTGTGTTGGGCGCGGGGTCAACCACTCTGGGAGTCTCTCATAGTTCTCTTGCGTAGGGTAAATTTGCCAGCGCATGAGGAGGAACATAGTGTAAAGCACGGCAACCTGTTCTGGCAGAGAGGAGATATCTGGAAAGGCGCACAGAATATCTGTGAAAACCTTTGAGACCGGATGGGAGAAGACACTTCTCTCCGGGTTTAGCAATGAGGAGACACTCGGGTATGGGGGCCCAGCTAAGTTCTGTCTAGGGATGCCTTGAGCCGCCTCGCGTTGGCGGCTTTGGAGAAATTCCAATAGAATGTTATCCAAGGGGCATGTCGCTGGTAAATTTTGTATTGGGGCGGCGAATGCAGGTGGCCCATGCTCAGAGGTAGTAGTCAAAGGATGTGGGTATATTGGTGACGGAGAATTCAGTGGAGGACAGCGGATGTTTTCTGAGCTGCTGCGGTGTAGCCGGTCGACTTTGGGAATAGTATGCGAAGCATCAAGAAGGAAATTAAACCCTAGACGCTCCTCAGAGCCGAGGTTCAGGCCGTGTGTGATATTATGGCGTTGCGAGTCCAATGCGACACGGAGAGAGGCGGAGGGAGGGCATCCATTGGTACTGTTGCGGCGACTCCCGAGGGTGGGTGCAGAATGGGTCGGAGAAGGTGTATCAAGGCTGGCAGTAGACTCGGGATATGTTTTCTCGCCTGGAAGTAGTGGCTGACTATTGGGGGTGAGGTGCTCGGTGTCGGGCAATGGGGATGTATGCGAAAGAGGCGGGCCGAGACTGGGTATAGCTAGAGAAGGAGACGGATCTGTCTTTATCAGCGTTGGACTTGGTTTTGTGACGCACAACTTACCTGGTAGTTCTGGCTTAGCCATCAATGGTTGGAGAATGGCCATCGCCGCCTGAAGCCCTTGGCGGAGCTCTGCGTTCTCCAACCGAATCGCCTCATTCTCCTGTAGAGCTGCTTGGAGATCGATGGAGGGTTTTTGTGATGACAGGTCCCGGACCTGTTGCTCCAGAGCTTCTATGTGCCCCTTGGTCCTTTCTCGAATTGCGCGCTGCGCTTGGCGGTCATTGGCCCGCTTTTTTGCCAACTGATCGGGGGTGAGATTGGCAACACCTCTTGATGACATGCTATTCAGCTTTCGCTTGCGTCCTGATGTCGTGCCATGGTCCGGGATCCCCTCCACGTCTATCGAAGTCGCACGGGAAGGAATTGTCGAGCCCTGGGGCCTGCCGAGGGGTTTAGGCCGCGAACGTTCAGATAGGTCGGACAAGTCGGGCTGAGGCGCCACATGCTCATTGGCGTTTGAAGCGCGGGTGGCCATGGCCTTGCACACGCGCTAGTTAAGATTAGCCATTCAGGTGGAAATTGTGGAATGGAAGAGTTCTGTAAGAAGTGTGAGGTATGGGGTGCTACTATGTGGGTCAAGAATGTGAAGTCCAAAACGCTTTAAACTTTCATGCGGTCAAGGTGCATTGCATGGCATCAGATTCATTGGGAATAAACTGACGATATTTTCTAAATACCATATATCTAGGGACAAGAATCTCCATTCTAGGAAAGGTTGGCGATGAACATGAAGTATTGTGCACAAAAAAAAATATACAGAGTATCAGCGCCATATGTATCCTTGGAAAGGATCAAGATTATGCACAAAGAAAAGGATTCGGTCGTGACGATCATATACAAAGGCTTTTGTAAGTTCCAATGCAAGAAAGCATAAGCCAGACAAGAAGGGGAATGATAGGGGCAAAAAGTTCAAAACAAGCTCAAGCATTATTGGATCATATGGCCCATTTTCGAGATCTATCGAACGTATTAGTATAACCCCAAAATGGGCAATGGGTTGAAAACATACCTTAGTCTGTAGATAGTCTTCAATTTCAGAGCTCTTAATTCCTCTCTGGCCGCCAGTACGCCATGCCAATGGGATCATCGGCACCCGCTCTTTTACAAGAACCTCCCGGTTGGGGCCCTCGATAGCGCGGACTTTATCGGGGTTATTGGTAAGTAGACGAATTCCTTCTGGAATGGCATCCACACCACAACCAAGGTCTTCCAAGATGGCCGTAGCCAGTCCATAGCTTCGGGCATCAGCCGGATGGCGGAGCAAAAGGTTTGCCTCAACGGTATCTGATCCGAGATCCTGGAGATTGTATGCCTTCAACTTCTCGCCAAGACCGATACCACGACCCTCCTGACGCAAGTAAACAATCACACCTCCTGTCGAGTGTGATGAGAGGGACTGAACCTCTGGCGGCGCATCAGAAGCAAGACCCTCAACAGGGAAAGACATCAAGCGCGCCGCCTCATCCAGCTGCTCGCCGCAATCGCACCGCGCCGACCACGCTGTTTCTCCCGTATAACACTCCGAGTGGATTCGCACCAGCGGCGGCTCGACCTGCTTTGGTGTCGAGGACGATCCAGACAAATCGTCATCATACCGGCTGCTGACTCGACCTGGGTGCAGTTTCCCAACGTACGCGCCG